AAAACAAATTTTATTACTTAAGTATCTTGTTAGTGATTTTTCTTACCTACCAGGACATTAAATTTTGAGATGGCTCTTGTGGAAACAACCAATCAATGCATATTCTTGAATAAGGAATGAAAAGTCTCACTGCCTGATTCTCTGATGTGTTTATAAGGATAGGGTTGGAGGAGGAGCTAATAACAAAAGTCATGATCTATGGAATCATTAATGTATAGTAAATGTTTTCATTTATTTCTAACATCATATTATTATTACAATGGACTTTCCTCGTTATATTGATGAGAAAGCAGAGGTTCAGGAAGCAGAGTATCATAAAAAAGCCAAAAGGTCTGGCTGGTGTGGCTCAGTGGTTGAGTGTCATCCTAAGAACCAGGAGGTCATGGTTCAATTCCTGGTCAGGGCACATGCCCAGGCTTCAGGTTTGATCCCCAGTGTGAGGCACGCAGGAGGCAGCAGATCAATGAAGCTCTCATCATTGTTTTTATTTCTCCCTCTCCCTCTCTGAAATAAGTGAAAATACATTTTTTTAAAAAAGAAGCTAAAAGTATAGGCATTAGAATCAAATAATTCTAATAAATTAACTTTGCAACTTATTGGCTGTTTAACTATGTGCAAACTCATGTAAAATGTGACCCATTATGCTTACCTTGTAGAGTTTTTGCAAATTAATAAAATAATTAATTGCAACCTGGAACCTAATGATGCTCAATTTATAGCATTGGTTGCTGCTATTTTATTATAACAATGATGGAGATTATGGTGGTGGTTAAATTTGCCTAAAATCATATTACTCTTAACTACTAAATCTGATATTTGAACACAAATTATACACCCCAGTCTCATGTTTTGTTGTGTTTTATTGCATGCTATTGGTCAGAGTTACCACAGCATTGCTTGATGATTTGTGGCCAACAAAACAGCAATAATTTAAATCCAGAATACTGTGATAGATGTCTTAACAATGCCGTTTTCAACTCTGTTTGTCCTCCTCCCACTCCTCAATCTGGACACATGTCTTAGTAGGACTGCACAGACTAAAACACATGCTAGAAAACTCATGGTGATTCTTTCTTCAGAAGGCTCATTCTTTTCTTCTGTTGTGGTGGGTACCAAGCTTTAAAAATTAATTAATTACATACCGGACATACCACTGTCATTCAATAGCAGTTATCTTGTTCTGAAAGTGTTCATTTACTGTAAGATATTCCTAAATGAGGAATCATAGACTCTTAAGTGAGAAGAAACTTTAAAGCTTATATAGTTCCCTGGAGATTGTATGGTTTATCATCCTTCTTTGCCCAAAGTTACACAATCATTTTACTCAGGGGAAAAGCCAGAACTACAAGGCACCTTTCCTGAATTGCAGTAGGGCTGCTATATACTATTGCTCACACTACAGTGTAAATGCTCTCACCCCTGACACAGGGCAACATGCTGTACCTAATACTCAGTACTGATTTTTAACTCCCCTGTTATAACATTGGCTACCCTCTTTTAGATAGTGCTTTGTAATATTTCCCATTAAGATGCAGTGTTATGAATTTAGTATAAAATTAAAGAAGTAGGCTCACCACATGAAAGGAATATTAGCACCTGCTGTTGTTCTTGTAGTGGGATCTGCATCTTCATTACTATTGCCTAACTCAGCATTTACCTCTTCTTGGTCTTATCACATTTTAATATGTCAGTCAGTCTTTTAGTAAACTAAAAGTCCTAAATCTTTTTTTAATGACTCCTTTCCAGGTCTCCCTCTCTGTCTCAGGAGGCTCAAGCTACCATAACAAAATACCATATATTGGGTGGTATAATAACATAAATTTATTTTCTTATAGTTGTGGAGGCCAAACATTCAAGATCAAGGTGCCAGCATGGTCAGTGTCTGGTGACACTCTTTTTCTGGCTTATAGATGGCAGCCTTCTTCCTGTGTCCTCACATGGCAAGGAGAGAGAGAGAAAGCATGCTCGTTGGTGACTCTTCTTATAAGGGCACTATAAGATCATGGCCTCATCTTAAACCAAATTATCTTCCAAAGGCTAAATCTCCAAGTTCATCATAATGAGAGTTAGGGTTTCAATATATGCATTTGAGGGGGTGAAACGATTCAGTTCATATATGTCATATAAAGTAGTTTTATGAACCTAGGTACCAGACTTTATATACATTTAAATTAATTTAACCTGGGAAGTTTCATTCCCTTCTTTCTTGAACAGAATGAGGTCACCTGAGACTGGAGAGTAAACTTAGTTATTATAAACTCAGTGCCCTCTTATGATAATGTCCTTGATCATTGGGTTTTAATTTCCTCTTCCCAAATTTTTTTGTTTGTTTGCTAATCCTCACCTGAGGATGTTTGTCCATTGATTTTTAGAGAGAGTGGAAGGGAGAGGGAGAGACAGAGAGAGAAACATCAATGTGAGAGAGTCACATCGATTGGTTGCTTCCTGCATGGCCCCAACTAGAGCTGGGGATAGAGCTTGCAATTGAGTTATGTGCCCTTGACCGAAATTGAACCCAGGACTCTTCAGTCTGTGGACTGATGCTTTATTCACTGAGCAAAACTAGCTAGTGTCTCTTCCCAATTTTTGTTCTATCTTTTCCAATTGGAAAACCACTATACTTGCCACAAGCTTTTATTCTTTAGTCCAATTGACTGAATCTGAGTTACTTCTAGAAATGCTATTTTACTTAAGTCTTTCTACTAAATGACTCAAATTCTCCTTGACCACAGCATAAGCTGTGTACCACTGTTAACAGTGTCAAGGAATAGTGAGAGATGTTCTTGTTACATAGAGTGCAATAGAGCATTTATTTTGAGCCACTCAATATCAAGAGAGATCTGAGCCTTTTATGCTATCAAAGGTCCCAGTGCAAAATTTGAGCTGTTGACATAAAGCAGAGCCATGAAGAGCCATACATGTGTTAGGCATACTTTTATCTGGTTTTCCACAAATTGTTCTAGCACTTTCCTCAGGCCTTTAGTAAGTAAAATGCTATTGACCATTTACAAGCCTCCTTTGTTTCTAGCCTGGTTCCAAAGATTGTTTTACTTTAAAATCTTGTATCAATTACCAGTACTTATATGTATGATTTTTTGTGCAAAATATTTTAAGCATATAGAATCACACATACACACATGCATATGCATAGATGAGCACACATGTATACATGCACACAGTAGATTTATATACTTTCTTCAATTTCAAGTCAGTGTTTCCTATTGTAGACCAAAGCTACTCCAAGGTAAGTTTTGAGTTCTGTCTTTGGCTCCCTTCTCTCACCTATTTACATAAATCTCCCTTCTTATTTTTTTATTTGTCTTGTCTAGGCAATTTTCTTCATGTTACTGAGGAACTTTCACAGGGAATTTCAATATAAGTCTACATTACATACACAGTAAATTTTTCTTTCCCATCCCTCATCAAAATGTAGCTGTTCCCCTCCTTCCAAATTTTACTCATGTTTTCCATTGCTACTCCTAGATAACCTGTGCAGACATTTAATAACTGGTAATGGTTTTATTCTTTGTATGCAGTATACTTTTACTTAAATTATGATTTCATTAAGATGCCACCTTAACCTAAAATAATTGCTTTGATGGCTGGAAGGTCAGGATCTATAATGAAAAAGCAGACATTTCTTTGGTGCCTAAATCTGATTCACTAACTAAACTCTTTCTCCAGGTCTATCATGCTCACATTTATTACAGTAAAACAAAATACTAAATTGTAATTTAAGAAAGATGGAAATGGAAGGTTATAATGGTAGTATGATTGATAAGAGGGGATGATAACATACTTGTAGAAGGAAATTATCTTAAATATGTATCAAACATATATAACCTTTTCAAACATTAGTGATCTGGCTGGTTTCGAAAGGCTTTTGAAACAGAGCTGAGATCAGGAAAATATCACTTTGTAGATTCTCTGACTGGTATGATTGTCTCTGTAGTTATAGTCCTAGAAGAAACTATGACTCGGGCCTAGATTATTTTCCCTCATACAGCAAGAAAGATATAGCATTTCAGGAAATGGAAAGGGAAACATTAGGATATAATCGCAGGCTATTTCCTGATGATTGCAGATTAACAAACCCTTATGCCTTGTACTAAGTTTTTACCTCTAGATTTAATAGCTGAAATGTGACATTAAAGACAAGTTAAACTGACCAAAGAAAATACTTAATTGCTAATACCTATGAATTTTACTTTTACTTGGTGTTTTCACTGTTAAAATAACAGAAAAAGGCATTAAACGAAGAAAAATTTAAACCATATGTTACTGCTTTGATTGTCTAAAAATTATGTCACGTCTATGAAAACTTGATTCTTAAATAGGACTTATCAGTTGATAAATTCATGAAAATAAACACTGGAACAGATGTGTGCATCAGATGAAAATTAAGCACTGGAACTTGCCACAATCTGCTGTTCTTTCCTAGTCTATTCTGATTTTGTTTTTCCTTAGGAGAATATATATAGGCCAATTTAGAAGAAGTAAAATAAAAGTGTTTCTTCGAATTGTAGTAAGTTCTGTACCTGATTAATATTTATGAAAGAAAAAAAGGAAGAATGGATGGAAAGATGGAGAGAAGGAAGGAAGGGAGGAAGGAAGGAAAGAACGAAGGAAGGAAGGAAGGAAGGAAGGAAGGAAGGAAGGAAGGAAGGAAGGAAGGAAGGAAGAGAAGATAATACAATTCAATGAGAACTAAAGCTTTAGGCTTTGCTTTTTTATCATTTGTTTTGACAATGTGCAGATAGAGCATCTCCGTGATTTCTGAACAGGATGCTTATGCACTACATTTAGCCTAACCAAATAGAAATACTCTTCCCAGTTTTATTTGCAAAATTTTGCAAAATTTTGTTATTTTTATAATCGTTTGGGATTTATATTACCAATTCAAACAACTTGAACCATCACATTTTTTCAATATCCTTGCCCAGAAAAAGTCCTTTTTATGCTACTCAAAAACAAAAAATAGCAATGATGCAATACAGTTGTAACAAAGTTCACATTTTTAAAATTAGAATAACTAACAGTTAAGCAAATATAATATTTATCAATAGGATGAGGAAGTTCATATTTTATTTTAAAGCTAATAAGGTAAAAAATAGTTATTAAAAAGCTACATAATTTTATCTCAAGGAGAAATTTCTTTAAGTTGACTTTCGCCAACTAATAAAACCTCTTGGATAAGATACTAACAGTAGAATTTGTATTCATATATGAAAGGCAAGTGAAGCAATCAGAAAAGACTTCTTAGGGAGAAGAGTTTTGGCTGGGTCTTAAAGGTGGGAAGAGACATAAAATTATGCTTAGAAAGAAAAGATTCCACATGAAAGAAATATAGACACAGATCTGGAAAATAAGGGAGATGAAGTATGCATAAATCACTTTACATAGAGAAGAGTTTGACAGGGTAGAGCAGAGGAATGGTTTGGGCTTCATAAGAACTTTTGATAAAAGGGTGTAAATGTATAAGGATGAAGGAGAGATTAGGGATTCTGAATTCAAAGCCAAGAATTATTTCTATATATAATAATGCAAGAGTAAATCATTCCAGTATTAAATTACACTGGATTATACGAAAGACCTTGAGGAGTACTTATTGAAACTTTAAGAGTCACTCTCACATTTCTTACATGTGTAGAGCAACTTCATCATCTTTATCACTGAAGCCTGACAATACATCAATACATGAATGCTGGAAATGAATGTGAAATGCTAAGACAATTTATGTCCATCCACCAACTGTGGAACTCAATTAGCTTAATTTGAGGCAGGTCCCAACACTGTTGATAGGTCCCACGTACAAGGCCAACTTTACTCTCCCACATCAAAATCAATCTGCCAACATTTTCCTTTCAGATTGTTTATTTAAACAATCTTATGTAGAGGTCAGAAACTACTTTTTTAAACTAAGAGGAAATTAATGTTGTCTTTTTTATTTATTTTCTTGGCCAGGGAAATTAATGGGCTCAGTGTAGACCTTTGATCCTGAGTGAAAAGTTTCTAAAAATAGAGTTGAACAATGGCTTTTAAAAATATATAAAAGATTTTTTTTTTGTATTGTAGTCAATAGACTGGAATATTCAATGATCTTCAGCTGAACAGGAGGCCAGTTCAAAAGCACAGACAGGATGTATTAGAATCTATAGGAAATTCTAGGACAGAAGAGAGAGAGGGAGAGAGGGAGGGAGGGAGAGGGAGAGAGAGAGAGAGAACTAATTGTTGCAGAGAATTCTTACTGCTAAAAGTTTTAAGTTAAACCTCATGTGAAAGAGTCAGGCAGCTGTTACTTTATTGCTGCAGCTGCTGTAGTCTCCAGGATGGAGTTTGGGTGTAGTTTTTTATTTATTTGTTTTGTTTTTTTATGATAGTAAATTAGAAAAATGTAGTAGAGTTGTTGCAGGGAGGTATAGGGCCTTTTCTCCTACCAGCATAGTACACACACACACACACACACACACTGAGAACTCTGTAAAATTCATATCTCATAGCATTGAGATATGAATTTTACTTTTCTATATTCACCCAGGCTTTTTAACATTATGTGGATTTATCAAAATAACTTATTAATTTACATTATACAAATTATAAAATTCACCCATTTTAAGTGTACAATTTAATGAATTTTAGTATATTTGCAATGTTGTGCATTCATGACCAGTCTAATTAAAAAAAAAAAAACTTATTTCAAAGAACTTTGTGCTCATTTATAATCACTCCCTATTCTCTTTTAACAGAAAAGATAAAACAGGTAGGTTTTCCTCATGTCATGGCCAAAATAATTAACCTCAATTACAATTGGCTTAAGAAAGTGCCTTGTACATTGTACAAAGTTAAAACTCTGAGGATTTGACAAGGAAGCCTTTATCATGATGACTTTTGATTAAGGGCTATATACACTATTTTAGAGACATATTTCTCACACTGCATTCAAGGGCACCATTTAATGCATTATCCCATTACTTCAGCAGTAAATTAAATGTTATTCTAATGCCCTAAAACCACTAATTTATCTCCTGAAGTCTGACTTCCTGTAAGGGAAAGACTTAGGTGTGGGAAGAATCTGACATAATTAGTTGCTTATTGCTTAAGAGTATTAAATTGTACCTTAGAAATATGAGTTACTACCATGTGCCGGGAGCCGGTCCATCCTTGCTGTTTCAAGGGACCTGGCATATATGGCATACTGTTCTTAAAATGTTTGGTCACCTTCTTGGCACTATGTGTTTTAACCAAGGTCACCTCTCTGAGAAAGGTTGTTTCCCCAGGTAGGGATTTTCCCCTGAAGTTAGGGAGGGAATAAAACCTCTTCTGGCTGGAGAACCTAGCAAGAGAACATGGACACAAAACTTGGCTGGAGATTGTGGCTAGAGATCCTGGCAAGGCTGCTGATCAACTGAACGCTGTCTCCGTGTCATTCCTTCTTCGCCGACTCCGTCCGCACCTATGGGGAACCCCTGGACCTGCTGGGCAGGACCCCAGCAACCATGGAAAATGTGGTATACTTGGAATGAGGAACTCATTTTATTCTTGGAGTACAAGAGGTAGTACACTGTAGTGGTTAAAAGTGCAGCATCTGAAGCGCACTTCTTGGATTCAAATTCCAGCTCCACTACTAATTGTGTTGACCTTGGTCAACTTATGTAAGAATTCTGTGCCTCAGTGTCACTGTTTTAAAATAGAAATACTAACATCATCTATTTCAAATAATGAACATCGGGCGATTTAATACATACCAATCTAAAGTTCTTCGTACATTGGTTGGAATATAGAGAATTTGATAAATGGTAGCTATTATTCTAAGAAGATTATATAGAGTGTGCACATCATGCACTACAATTTTCATATTATTTCCCCATTGAGTCATTGGGTTGTCTTTGCGTTAATTAGAAGAGCCAACATATAAACTTTACCCACAATGACTGCCTCATCTTCATTTAATTTCCAGTTTGCCTTGTGTCAGATTTATCAGCAATGTTAAATACCTTATGTGCTATAAGAGTAAATAAAATCTT